TTCTGTGCCCACCACCTGGCCGACCCTCCTGTGATAGCAGATGAACATTCCATGCTCGTACCTAAGGCCAACCCCTGCCCAAATGTCCCTTCTGATCCATCTAAGGGCATCTCTCCAAGACTTTTCCCTGCTCACCGGCATCACCTACAGAAACACTCCATCATTAATCATACATAAAATAACTTGGCACGGGTGATTACTGACTGGATGTTGAGTGCCCGCAGCATTGCCTTCCCGAACACAGTCTTAGAACATGGGAGCCTGAGAAGTGAGAAAAGCCACTGCTGATACCACAGTTAGTGATAAGTTGTTCCGAATGGACAAGCCGTAGTCAATATGTCTCTGCCATCATGAACAGGTCAGGAGAGAGAATATTGAGCATTCTAGCTTTTACCCCAGAAGACAACTTGGCCTGTACTGAGAACTATTACTGAGGAATTTCCCAAATACATGAAGATAGCCACAAAGCAGGCCACATGATGTTAAAATATTCTTTTAGCCATTACCTTAAATATTAAGAGCAATTCATGATCAAAGGACAAACTCACTAGGCAGATAACATTCCAAACATGAGTGCATCTACCAACACAGACTCAAAAATATAGAAAACAAAAATGGGAGGATTACAAGGAGAAATTTATAAGCCTACAGTTATAATGAGAGGTTTTTAAAAAGATTTTATTTATTGATTCATGAGAGAGGCACAGGGAGAGAGGGAGAGACACAGGCAGAGGGAGAAGCAGGCTCCCTGCAGGGAACCCTATGAGGGACCCAATCCCAGGACCCCAGGATCATGCCCTGGGTCAAAGGCAGGCACCAAACTGCTGAGCCACCCAGGTGTCCCATAATGAGAGATTTTTAACAAACCTCTCTCAGTAATTATGAGAATAAAAATATAAAATATTAGTACCATTACAGAAAATTCAAATAGTCTAATTAAAAAGCTTTACCTCCTGAACATATACAGAACACCGTTCCCTAAAAAGAGCATATATTCTTCTCTCAAGGACACATGGAGTATTGATCAAAATTAACCATGTTGGAAAGCCTGGGTAGGTCAGTGGTTGAGCGTCTACCTTCAGCTCAAGTCGTGATCCCAGAGTCCTGGGATCGAGTCCCGCCATCAGGCTCCCTGAAAGGAGCCTGCTTCTCCCTCTGCCTATATCTCTACCTCTCTCTGTGTCTCTCATGAATAAATAAATAGAACTTTTAAAAAAATTAACCACAATACTGAATTAGATCCATTTTTGCATGAGCCCTTAAAAAGATATCAAAATGCAAAAACAAATGTGACTAATTTATCCAAAACAGTTTATAAAAATCCCACCCAAACAAATAAGAATCTGTACAAAATAAACAGCAGAACAAAGCTTCCTCCAGAGACCCTGAAGGCAATTCCTTCCCATCTTGCTACAGGTCTTCCATCGATAACCAGAATTTATTTAACTCACATGGCAATTGGCATTTTCCAGTAAAGAATCAAAAGAGAACAAGATGAACTGCCTAATATGAGGCTGCTCCAGCCTTGCAACATGGGGTCAAAATTTTAAAAACTGTAAAATATATTTTCAAAAATTCAGAAGAGAAATGTGAACACAACACACAAAAAGTGTACGCAAAGGTTGATAAAGTATAAATTTGTCTAACTGCAGTTTGGAAACATATTGTTGAACATCTCAATTAAAAAGTGAGAAAGTGGGGATCCCTGGGTGGTGCAGCGGTTTGGCGCCTGCCTTTGACCCAGGGCGCGATCCTGGAGACCCGGAATCGAATCCCACATCGGGCTCCCAGTGCATGGAGCCTGCTTCTCCCTCTGCCTATGTCTCTGCCTCTCTCTCTCTCTTTCTCTGTGTGTGACTATCATAAATAAATAAAAATTTTTAAAAAATAAAAAATAAATAAAAAGTGAGAAAGCAAAGGATCCTGAGTTAAACAGAAAGCACTTTATTCTATCATCTTGACACGTATTTATTAAAGAACTAAAGGAGACTCCATAACAATTAATAGAATGGAGGTAAGCATGATAAAATAAGCCATAAATTATTCTGACCAGAGACACAAACTCCAGCAAAATTTTCATGTCACATCAACAACAGCAAAATCCATTAAGAGGAGATACATTTCATATAGAAGTAATCAAGGCTCATGAATTATTTGATAATCCAATTAATGTACAATGGCAAATCATAAATATTTTAGAAAAGATTTCAGCCTCCTGCTGATTTGACATGAAAATACTGAGCAGCCAAAAACGCTATAAAGCTCACCAGGCCACCTTGAGCAGGATGCAAACACGACAGGCTGATGGATGTAATCAATCCTAAGAGAATGTAAAATCAAACACACCTCACAAAAAAAGAAATGCTGGCGCCCCCAAGTTCTGCAGTGCAAATGTGAAAACATCTGAAGTCTTCCCAGATTTGACACAATACCAATCTTCAAAACCAACAATCAAAAAAACAAATCGCAAGCATCTGAGCTACAGGAAAACACTAAGATGTCTTTCTAGTCATAAAATTAAAATTTAGAAAATAAAATTATAAAACTGCTACCATATGAAGAGTGACCAAAAAGTATGTGGCCAAAAAACATAGTGGAAGGAAGTAGCATGGGGTCTGGAGGGGATGTGGGCCATCCATTCAATAAAATCAGGTTATTTGCCTATTTGGCCATGTGTGTGGTCTTCAAAAGTTTCTTTAAATGTCTAATCTATTGTGATTTCTTTTCTTGTTCTGATTATTAACTAGAATAAATACACACCCTTCCCGAGTTGGGCCTTCCAAAATCAGAGGAAGCACACAGATCTCTCTTTTTTTTTATTTAAATTCAACTGGCCAACATATAGTACATCATTAGTTTCAAATGTAGTGTTCAATAATTCATCAGTTGTGTATAATATCCAGTGCTCATCACGTCGCAGATCTTCTTAAAATCAAGAGTTTATGCTTAAAATGAGGCCAAATTCTTCATAAGAAAGAGCAGCACTTCTGCACGACACAGCGCCCCCTGGTGGTTGGCCTGATAAAACGCGGGCCCGCGACAGGTGGCCTGAGGACCAAGACCTGCACCTATCCCCTGAAGCCTTTGGGCACAGAATCCCCATATCCTCCAGGATTCATCACTGTTATTGAAAAATCCAATTAAAGAAATAAAAATTGAATAAGTAAAATACTGACACTCTAGGCTGTGTGCCTTCAAAAGACAAAACAAAACAAACAAAAAATACCCAGGCCTGGACATTTCAAAACAACTTTTACAAAACATTCAAGGAATATAATACCTTTCTGCACGTAAACTGCTCCACGGGACAGAACAACATGGCACATTCCCCAGCTTCTTTACAGGGGTTCTCCTTGGAGGCACCAGGCAGGGGTCCGGCCAGGTGCAAATCCTCACGGAGGCTCTTCTGCATAAAAACAAATCCCCACAGTAAGGAAAGCGAGGCCTCCACAGGGGTTTCTCAGAGATGAGACTCAAAGCCTTATTCAGTTTTCCTTTTTTCCCTATTTTTCCATATATTGGAAGGTGCAGTGCTTTCGCCTCCTGCCTCCATTTGGCACATGATGAGCCCAGCAGAGCAGAAGGAGGGAGACACTCCCTCAGCACAGAACCTTTAGGAGATCTCATTCTGAGGTTCACGGGAAGAGAGACCTCCCCACTGCCACCACCTGCTCTGCTCCTGCCCACAAGGTGTCCGCTTCCCACCTACGGAGCCTCAGGTAGGTAAATGCTAGACCACCTGCCATGGTGGCCAGGAGCCCCTAGGCTCACCGAGCCCCTTCCCTGCCTCACATCCTTTGCACTCACTCTTCCCCCCACGTGGGATGCCTTTCCAAATATTGTTTTATCAGTGTCACCTCTTCAAAGAATTTTCTGTTGAGGGGAGCCTGGGGAGCTCAGCCAGTGGAGCATCTGACTCTTAGTTTGGGCTCAGGCCATGATCTCAGGTTGGGGGATTGAGCCCCAAATCTGGCTCCGTGCTGAGCATGGAGCCTGCGTGGGATTCTCTCTCCCTCTGCCTCTGGCCCTCCCACCCCCACTCACATGCGGGTACACTGCCTCCCGGCCCCTCCAAAAGAGTTTTCTGTGGACCGACCTCAACAAGTTGGCCAACCCCGCAAGCACACACACATGCTGACGCACCATGCGGGCATGCCCTCCCCAAAGCAGCCCTATCCACTCTCCCCTCCTCAGCCTTACGGACAGAGCCAGGGGAGCAGGTTGGTGCAGGAAGAACAAAGCCACACCTTCCCAGCCTTCCTGGCATGGCATTGGCAGGGGGGTGAAAGCTCTGATGTGGTCACTGGCATCTTCCCAATTTGATGGGCGATTCCCATTAACCAGGTGCTAAGCATCCACCCTCCTCAGGTGCACCCTCCCACCCCAGAAACCCAATCCTGGCCCTGGGAGATGAGGTCTCCAGCTGGACACACAGCCACCACCACCTTCCCCGGGCTCAGGAGGGGCCGCACGGCCCAGCTGCCCTGGGCATTCACAAGCAGCTCACCCACCTTCTCTCAGCAAGCCCAGGGCATTCACACTCAGGCCACCTCCTCATCTGCCCATGATTCATGAGGCCAGCTCTCCTGAGAGCAACACAAGTTTGGGGAAGAACTCCACTCAGAGTCCCCAGCCTTATCTTAGGACCCACCCGGGACAGAGGGCGTGTGGGAGGTGCTGCAGCCTGGGCCCCACAGAGAAGAGGGCGCCCGCATAGGGCACAGTCTTGTGATCCTGGGACACTGCCCAACAGCACATGAGATACGCCCAGGCCCCACAGGCACAAAAGGAAACCTCTACCCAAGATCAGACAGAATGACCAAAATACACACACGGCAGGTGAAGCATATGCAGCTCCTGGGAAGGAGGAGGACACAAGGAACAAAGGGCAGGGAAGGTACCAACATCGGGGAAGTGACTGTGTGCCCAGCATCTGACTTGAACCTGGGCAGGTATATAAGGGCCCACGGCCCAGGAGGCTCCATACCTGAACCCCTCCCCTTGCACCTGCTCCTCTGACCTGCTCCACCTCCACCCACCAGAACCATGACCTGCTGTGGCTGCTCTGGGGGCTGTGGCTCCAGCTGCTGTGTGCCTGTCTGCTGCTGCAAGCCCGTGTGCTGCTGTGTGCCGGCCTGTCCCTGCTCTAGCTGTGGGTCCTGCGGGGGCTCCAAGGGGTGCTGTGGGTCCTGCGGGGGCTCCAAGGGGGGCTGTGGGTCCTACGGGGGCTCCAAGGGAGGCTGTGGGTCCTGCGGGGGCTCCAAGGGAGGCTGTGGGTCCTGCAGGGGCTCCAAGGGGGACTGTGGGTCCTGTAGGGGCTTCAAGGGAGGCTGTGGGTCCTGTGGGGGCTCCAAGGGGGACTGTGGGTCCTGCGGGGGCTCCAAGGGAGGCTGTGGGTCCTGCAGGGGCTCCAAGGTGGGCTGTGGGTCCTGCGGGGGCTCCAAGGGGGGCTGTGGGTCCTGCGGGGGCTCCAAGGGAGGCTATAGGTCATCCTGCTGCCAGTCCAGCTGCTGCAAACCCTGCTGCCTTCAGTCCTGCTGCTGCAAACTTTGCTGCCCTCCGTCCTGCTGCTGTGTCCCCGTTTGCTGCCAGTGCAAGATCTGAGATGTGACCAGAGGCTCAGGGGGTTCCAGCCAATCCAGGCTCCCAGGCTTGAGTGGTGACACATCCCATACCCCCAACACACAGTTCTGTGTCCATCCCCTTCTGGAGTAATGCAGACTGAATCTTCAGGACCAGAGATCCTGTTCCGCATTTCCTGATGAAGAAGGGAGTCACCCTCATACTCTGAGCCAGGCAGGGATTCTCCACTACACTCACAACCAAAAAGAAACTTCCTCCTTGCCAGCTCTACTTGCAGCCTGCCATCTGCAGGCTCTTCAGTGACTAAGCTCCAGAAAAGCCACCCCTCATGCACTGAGTGGGTCCCAGGGCTGTGCTAGCCATCCTTCCCAACCTCTCCTGCTCAGACCTGGTCAGCCCTGTTCCCCACGGAACCTTGGGCTGGCACTGATCCCCGGAGCTGGGGCTGCCCAGGTCCACTACACACCCTGCCCCTCGTCCCCAGGCATCTCCCCCTGGCATCAGCTCATCCTGATTCTTGGTCTTATAAATTCAACTGTGAGCTTTGTGAAGCTTCTAAATAAACAGATCCTCCAAGGACAAGCCTCATTCTTACAGCTGTGGTAGAAACCAGGGTGCACTAGTTCCGTGCATGCAGACGCTTTTTTTCCCTAAGATTTTATTTATTCATTCATTCATGAGAGATTCAGAGAGAGAGAAGCAGAGACACAGGCAGAGGGAGAAGCAGGCTCTATGCAGGAAACCCGACGTGGGACTCGATCCCGGGACTCCAGGATCATGCCCTGAACTGAAGGCAGGCGCTAAGCCGTTGAGCCACCCAGGGATCCCCCATGCAGACCCTTTTATTCAGTGCCTGAACTTCTCAGACTTTACCCAGGAAGGACACTGGATGTTCAGAGATCTGGGGAACAAGGCTGGCTAACACAAAATTATCTAGAAGAGGGTGGGCTTAGGAGCCACCTACAGTTGAAAGGCTGACTCTTGTCTGTGTGATGTACAATAGACTGGATATACTCGGGGGCGAGGGACCCCAGGCAGTGGCTACAAATGCCTGTGGGTTCCTTATAGCCCAGGAATGCGGCTTTGTTACGGTGTAATGGGAAAAAACCAGGATGCGAAATGTTCCACAGCATGTGATCACAACCACGTGTGCCCACAGATGGATAAGGTGGGCATTCTTTAATAATATTATCTTATGCTTAATATTAAAAATTAATAAACTCTAACAAGTACACAGAGGCGGGATACCACGAGCACTCCTGTGAAGTGGGCACAAGAGTTAGGGGAGCTGTGAGCCTTTGAGATAGGCACATTTTCACACCTCAAATCCAAAGCAAAACACAAAACAAAAATAAAACACACAGGTGCTGTTAGTCTCACATGAAGAAATAGCTTGTGCGGAGCCCGGTGCTGGACACCACAGGGAAAATCACTCATCCGCGGTCCTCAGTGGAGGCCTCACCCCTACGTTCAGTTTCACGATGATTCTGTCCCTCCAAGCACCTGTTGGCAGTGCCAACCCCAAAGAAGAGTTGGGATACTTTTCAAGAGGAGCCTGAAGCCTTTTGTGAGACCGAATCTGTCTTCCACTCAAAGTCAAGAAAATCTTTGCAGGGACCACAGCGGCTCTGGCCAACAGCCCTGCCAGGAAACACGCAGATGCCAGGAGGCAGTGGGCGTCAGGGAGGGTGCACACAGGACTCCTGTGCTCCCTGCAAGGCTGGACACCCCTCTGGGCGGGGGTACCGAGCCAGCATCATTCCCTGGCGACCACCATCAGCCAAGTGAGTGTGAGGACATGTGGTTTGTAGTGTGGCCTTTCCCACGGCCACTGGCCAGGAGCACCACCATCCCTCTAGCCCAGCAGGTACCAGGCTGAGATCAGAGGTTCCATCATCCTGCTGGCTCTGAGACCTCCACCTTACGGGGTGTGTGAGTCAAAAGTTAAGACTGGAACACGGGCAAATCCGTCCTGAAGACAACCAGCAAGAAGACGTCAGAGGGAAGCTAGCCTCATTAGTAACCAGGAAAATACACATTAATGCCACACTGCTGATCTGTGGGAGCACTGGGACAGCCAAAACGGTGACCCCAGCAGAGCCAAGTGGGTGTGCAGCAAGAATAACTCTGGGGAACTGGCGAGAACACGACAGAAACACTGCTCCGAACATAGTCCACTACGTTTCCACACACATGCCCCGTGACCCGCAGTCCTGCCGCAGGCAGGACCAGTAGGCGTAGGTGCACAGACCCTGACGCTTATGAAGAGCATGGACAGTGCAGCTTCTCCTCGCAGACCCAAACTGGAAAGCATCCAAGGACCCACCAAAAGTAGAACTGACAAGTGAATAAATAGCACTGTAGTCGTGTGATGTAAAACTGCACACAATTGAAAATGAATGGACTTAAACTATGACAAGAACCATGGGTGATGCCACACAGAAAGAAGAGAAGCCCATCAGCAGCACGCACATGGGGGGCTCTTAATGAGGTGGCATCACTTTCTGCCCAGACCATTCAGAATCTCTTAATTCCCCTTCCCACTTTGAGCCTCGTACCTTTTTCAGGATTCCTCTACATGTCAGCTCTGCCTAGGGTCCTGGATTCCAAGCTCTACTGGGAGCAGATGATTCCACCCCATGCTCCAGTGCTCCTGCTGCTCCTGCCCCTCATCATGGAATCACTTGGGACCTCACAACCTGCCTCATGGGAGCACTTCCCACCTGCCTGCCTGTGTCCCAGCTGGACAGTCACCTTCAACAGGTTTCTAAACTGAAGCCACTGATGACACTTCTGAATCCCATGCCCACGAGCCCCGAGAACTCACCCCTCAGCCACCTACTCATTAACTGCCAGATCTGAGGAGGTGTGGTCCCATCGAGGGCACTGCAGACCAGGACAGCTAGAGCCATGCTGCTTCTGGCAAACAAGCCAACTTCTTATTATAACAAAATAAATATGTTTCATTAAAAAAACACACACACCTTTTTTGTCAAATAGAAAACACATCCTAATACATATAAGGAATTTCAAGAGACCCCCAAATAGCCCAACCATCTTGAAAAAGAATAAAGGTCAAGGACTTATACTACTTGATTTTAAAACTTACTGTGAACTCTCAGGGTACCTGGGTGGCTCAGTCGGTTGAGCATGCTTTCGGCTCAGGACATGATCTTGGGGTCCTGAGATCGAGTCCCACATTGGGCTCCCTGTTCAGTGGGGAGTCTGCTTCTCCTTCTGTCCCTCCCCCAGCTGTGCTCTCTCATAAATAAATAAATAAATAAATAAATAAATAAATAAATAAAATAAAATAAAAACTTAAAAACTTACTGTGAACTACGGTAATCATAACAGTGTGGTGCTGGTACAGGACGGGCTTATAGACCAGAGGAAGAGAAAACACAACACAGCCCAGAAATAAACCCTCTCCTCATACATACAACCAGCTGGTCTTCGGCAAGGGTGCCAAGACCACTCAGTGGGGAAATGATAGTCTCAGCAAATGGTGCTTAGACAACTGGATGTCCACAGGCACGACAGTGAAGTTAGACCCCCACCTCACACCATATACAAAAATTAGCTCGGAATGGATCAAAGTTCTAAATGTAAGAGCTAACACTGTAAAACTCAGAAGAAAACATTTGTGTAGTCAAAGGACACCAAGAAAGTGAAAAGATAACCCACCACAAAGGAAGAAAATATTTGTATATCATATATTGGATAAGGGTTTAATATCCAAAATATATAAAGAACTCCTACAACTAGACAACAAAAAACAACTCAGTCAAAAAATAGGTGAAATAGTTGAATAGATAAGTCTCCAAAGAAGATGCACTGCTGGCCACTAATGAAATTCATGAAAAGATGCTCAATATCCTTAGCCATCGGGAAATGCAAATCAAAACCACAATGAGATCCCACCTCACACCTGGTAGGACAGTTCCAATAAAAAAGAAAGAAAAAAAACAAGTGTTGGAGAGGAGGATTTGGAACCCTCATGCATGGCTGATGGGAAGTAAAATGGGGCAGACGCTGTGGAAATAGTTGGGCAGTTCCTCTAACTGTTAAACATAGAATTACCACATGAAAAAAAAAAAAGAATTACCACATGACTCAGCAATTCTGCTCCTAGGTATTTACCCAATGCAAGCAAGGGCCAGGCACAGACACTTGTACGTTCACAGTTACAGCAACAATGTGCACAACAGCTAAATGTGGAAACCACCATCAACAGACAACAGGTAAAAAATGTGGTCTATCCACACGTGGAATGTTATTCAGCCATGAAAAGGAACAGGGCTCTGACACCTGCTGCAGTGTGGATGAGCCCTGAACACAACATGCTGAGTAAAATAAGCCAGTCACAAAACGACAAACATTGTATTATTTCACAAGTATGAAACACCTAGAATGAAAATTCCTAGAGGCAGAAATTAGATTATAAGCTACCATGGCTGGGGAGAGTGGGAAATGGGGAATTACTGCTTAATGGGAACAGAATTTCTGTGTGGGGTGATGAAAGACATCCAGAAACAGATGGGGGGTGATGATTATTATAAAACATCATTAATGTATTTAGTGGCACTGAATTGTACAGGTAAAATGGCAAAAAATTACTTAACAACAGTAAGTTGAGCCCCTGGGTGGCTCAGTCGGTTAAGCATCTGCCTTATGCTCAGGTCATGATCCCAGGGTCCTGTGATCAAGTCTTGCATCAGGCTCCCTGCTCAGTGGGGAGTCTGCTTGTCCCTCTGCCCCTTTCCCCTGCTCATTCTCTCTCTCTCTCTCTCCTCTCTCTCTCTCTCTCTCTCTCTCTCCCTGATTCTCTCTCAATAAATAGATAAAATATTTAAAAAGAAAAAACAATAACTCAACCAGATATCTTATATAGAAATTAGGATTCTCCTGGTAGTTTGATAGGGATTGCATTAAATGTGTAGATTGCTTTGGGTAGTTTGACATTTAACAATCCCTATCAATATACCAACAGCATTTTTCACAGAGCTGGAACAAACAATCCTAAAATTTGTTTGGAACCAGAAAAGACCCCAAATAGCCAAAGAAATGTTGGGAAAAAAAAAACCTGGTGGCATCACAATGCTGGCCTTCAGGCTCTATTAATGGATAAAGAAGATGTGGTCTGTGTATACAATGGAATATTACTCAGCCATTAGAAACGGCAAATACCCACCATTTGCTTTCACGTGAAGGGACCTGGAGGATATTGTGCTGAATGAAATAAGTCAATCAGAAAAGGACAAACATTATATGGTCTCATTCATTTGGGGAATATAAAAATTAGTGAAAGGGAATAAAGGGAAAGGAGAGAAAATGAGTGAAAATATCAGTGAGGGTGAACAAAACATGAGAGACACCTAACTCTGGGAAATGAACAAGGGTTACTGAAAGGGGAGGTGGACGGGGGGGTTGGGGTGACTGGGTGATGGGCACTGAGGGGAGCACTTGATGGGATGAGCACTAGGTGTTATGCTATATGTTGGCAAATTGAACTCCAATAAAAAAAATAAAGCTATCATCAGCAAGACAGTATGGTACTGGCACAAAAACAGACACAC